GAATGCTAAAAATATAATAATGAAAATTCGTGACTCTTTCCAGAGTCCCAACACAGCTTGGCACCAACTGGCCAAAGAGTGAAAACAACTCCCAGCAGAATCCAATGGAACAATCACCTGTGGGTAAACAATCTCCAAACACATTCCACATGTGAGCACAACACAGGAGAAGCAAATGAGATAAGAATTGTTTTCCTTTTCTCTAAGGCTTCTAAGCTTCCCAGGAGAAAAATCCTGGGTAAAAGGATTCTTTCAGAGAATGTGAATGCCACAGTTCTGGAAAGGATTTTTGACTATCCTCAGACTGTGCTGCTCTGATGGATGCTGTGCACAGTTTAGCCCCATCCTTTCTCTGCAAGCCCTGCTGTTCCCTGTGTCTGTGCTCCAGATTTAACCCCAGATTTAAATCTGTGTTCCAGATTTAGCCCTGAGCTCTCCTAAGAGGCAGTGACTGGAGAGGGCAGGAGTGTTTGTGATATCCATAGAGCCCATGGAGCTGTGTGGCTGTGCAGGTGCTGCAGGGGACAGCAAGGTGTCCCTAGCACTGTGGCCAAGGATTCTGTGGATTGTGGCTTGACTTGAACTTAGCAAACACCTCAAACCTCTTTTGGATGATTTAAGCTGATGGATGTTTCCAGGTCAGCAGACAAGAGAGTAAGAGAGTGACTTCTCTTAGAGGAAGTTCTTCCTTCTATAAGTATGAAGAAACCTTTAAAGGCCTTTAAGAAAAAGCACAGATGTGCTTTTAATCCTGTGAAGTTGAAAGCCTGTGTAAGCCCCTGGTATCCTTTGTCTGTTCTCACTATAAAGAGGCTCCATAAACACCCACCTGCAGTGGTAATCTGGACATGCCATGCTGGGAACATCCATTCAGCCACTGTGGGGAAGCAAAGATTAATTTTAAAATAGAGGAAAACCTTGTGTGTTTCTTGGGTCTGCTCTGGCAGCGTCTCTGATCTGCAGGCAAAAATAACAAAGAGTTCTTGGCGCCTGACAGGGTCCATCCTGTATTCTGAAGCAGGTAGGGAAAAGGACAAGCTCTCATTGTCTCTCCTCCTCTCCAGCACAGCTCCCTCTGTGCAGAGGGACTGGAG